AACAATCAAAAGATTTTATAAGAGATAATATAAACAATACAATTGAGAATACAACTTCCTTCAATGAGTCATAATACGGGCAAAACAATCTATCAATTTATTTAGAAACTAGATTTATTTCCACCAATTACAGAGGCATTTCCTGAAATTCTCTGTCTAATAAGATCAATTATACAGTGTTTGCTTTCAATTGTATTTATCACTATATATATATATATATATATACATAAATATCAGTACTGTAAACATTAATTTTAATTCCGTTCTAATTCTCGGACAATTTTGCTGTTAGTTGTTATTATAGAAAATCCATTAGTTGAATTGAATATCTTACTTTTTAAATAAACTAAGTTTATACAGTTTAAAAGATCATTCCTTTTGGGTATAGACGTTGTCAAAATGTTAAAGGTGCATTATCTATTTTATCAATTTATCATAAGGATGTTTTTTAACACTTTATTGTATATAATCGGGATACGAGGAGGATGATGGTGTCTATTTCAGACAAATAAATATTCTTTTGAGTGAATTACATTAGTTTGCTAATGATACTCTTGTAAGATAACTAGTTATGAATGGTGTACAATATTTAGCTTTTATTTACAAATCTAATAAAAGATTTCAAAATAGTTTAATTTATATGCATGTGACTTCAATCCTAGATTGTATGTCCTACTTATGCAAGTAATGAAAATTATAACTTAGAAACAAACAAACCTCAAATAAAGAGGTACGATTTGTCATTGATGATGCAAGTAAGATTAATTACTGTGTGATTATACTAAGTCAAAATGACCAAAGTTTAAAATAAAATATCATTGGTCCGCTTATTGATGAACCATAATTAACAAGTCATCTTTAGCCCAGTACACATACCTTGAAACGCCAAGTCCACATAGCCACATTTCAGATCCTAGGGAGTTATTCTTTTAGGATGTTCAAATGCCAACAGTTAATAATAACTGTGAAGAATTAGGGTATTCAGGTTGTTATGGATAGTTTCATAGTCTTGAAATAACAGTTTGAGAGATATTAAACGTTGTTTATTATATAAGAAGAACTAACTGCAATTTAAAATATAGAATACTAAATTTCAAACGATAGATGTTTCACTCATGATATTTAAAGTTCCTGGGTTTTATTTCAAATGGATTGGTTCGTATACACTAATCGGTATGAAATTATTCATTATCATAAAATGTTTTTAGCAATTCTCAAATCCCAATTAGAAGTAACCTCGTTTGTCAACAATTTTATCGATATTATTGGAAACAGTATTATCGATCAATCTATAACAAGTATAATCTATAAATTCTATTAACCAAAATACTGTTGATCTGCTGATATACACTTTAAACATACATTGCATAAATGTTGATAAATTCGTAAAATAAATAGTTAATTCTAAACCAATGGTGATGAAATTCGAAGATAAATTGAATTGTGATTAACTTCCGAAATTACATTCAAATCAATAATTATGAAACGAAAAACATTTCTAATAAAGATAACCATTTGGTCAATGTTAGATGACTGTTGAAAATCTGGGAGCACTGTGTGACCGTTTGGTCCTAGTATGAGACTCCACAGAAGTGCGAAACCGCGATTCCAAACACGGGATTCAACACAAGATCTTCGGTCTCACCCAAATAATTAACCTCTAGATCAATGGTATTAATGTCTAACTTCAAATATTCCATGACATTGCGGGACCATCTTTTGTGTTTTCGGTGGGTAACTGCTTCAGATTCGACACGGCTGAACTCTACCGCTCATGGCCTAAAAATGTATTTAAAATACGTTCAATATAACTCAGTGGAGAAGCCCAAGTTTATGTTTTTGGCTCATGTTGATGTCTTTCATGTTAGACCAACTATTTTAACGAACTATCTTACTCGAATTGAGTAAAATGACATTCAAACTAATGCTATAATATATGAACGTTTTGATTCTACAAAACTGATCGGAAACTTTGTTTATCTGTTTGTTTGTTAGTTGCAGTGGTCAACACATTTGTACAATATTTCGAGAAACTCAAGTCTTGTTTTATTTTCATTCCAAACATTCTTGAAAAGTGTGTATACTCATTGATTACAGAATGATAAACATGTTATTGAGATCGAGAATAATTCAAAGAAAGCGAAATACGATGAACCTGAATGAACCAATGTTTTATTTCTAGAAAAAAGGGGTTTTAATTTAAATAATATTTATACATAAATTGTCTAAATTGTACAAGAATCAAAGGTTTCAAAAACAATGATTCATAGAATAGATGGATTATGGAATCCAGGTCCCATCTTTTGTTTTGGTTGTGACTTGTCATTTGGACATACCTGCATGTTCTCACTTAAATTCAACACTTTTCAGTTCGAAAGTGACATTTTCCACTGAGCTATTAATTTGAGGTAGCTATTGGCTTGTTTCGTTCTAAATATCAGCAATAGGATTATCTGAACCATGTTTAATAATGATAAAAGAATTATCTTATCTGGAATGATAGTAAAGGCTTGAAAATTGAACCGTCTTATTTAGTGAATTCAAAAGTACCAAATAATCCGACATTAGCCATAAATCATTTCTACTCAAGTAACTACCAGTACATAATGTTTACTGGAATACAATATTATTTCTGGTTAATTTCAAACGTCTGATTTTCCAGTTTAGTTTCTGTTCATACCATTTAAATATCATCTAGGCACCTAAGGAATTTTCAGACATTAGAAATAATAATAAATCAACCGAATGATAACTGTGGTTCATTTTATTTGGAATAAATATAATAATTTGGTGAGATACATTTTGTTATATCCCGACGACAATTATCAATGGTAACTTTTGAGAAGTATTTATGGACAAATGTTATACGTATATTCTTAATGTATAACTATTCAGTAGCTAGATTATGTATATCTATACTCCCTTTATTTCAAGTTTTATTTTGTTATACGATTTACCGTTCTTGAGTGGTGCCTAGTCTACTAATTGCGGTCCCCCACATTCACAGCCACTTTTGTCTAGTTCTTGTATAAATAATATTCTCTATTTTATGGTACGATGTGGTCTATTTGCTTTTTATATAAACCCAGTATGTTAGAAATACATGATTCATATCACAAAGGCTGAGATTGGTGTTCTGGACTCAAGAGGCAGGGCTAGGCAAGGGAACGGACCGATAAGGACTCTATACTACTCGTACGGGTTTTATGCGTCATCGGTCCGGTCAATAAATCACTGTCCTCTATTTCGCGGTATCATTACGTTATATATTGATAGGGGCATAAGGTCACAAGCTATAACACAGTAACGAAGTGGATGTTTATCAATGAAGTGTATTCATGTAAAATTTTAATCTGTACCAAAATATGTAAATGCTCTTCTAAATACAGAAACTGAAACACTGAAGTAATTTATGACTAGTATTTATCACCAATAACATTTAATTATTGTTACGTTTATTGATTTTATCACTTGAAATAGCATATATGAAATCGGTCATTATATTTCTGTTGGGTTATTGGCAGGAGTTATTTTTTAAATTACCGACTTTCAAGGTGTTTTTTTTAGTATAACAACCTGAATTCTGTACCAGAAAATGATTTACTAGGATATCCCTAAACCTAATGAGTACTCATGAGTTCTGTATATGTATATTTATATGTATTTCGTTTATTTTCTTAATCGTTCAAGTTTCATTTAGTACAAATAATATTAAGAACCATTATAAGCAAAGATGGATAGTGTCTAGCAGTGGAATCCAGGACACGCGTTTCGTCCTGTTTGGGACTCGTCAGCTGGATGTACCTGCATCTGAGTTGATGTTCACTCTGGGATTCGAACCCAGTGCCGTTCGCTTCAAACGCCATCGCGTTATGCACTTAGCTACTGAGTCCTGATAGTCACTTGCTTGTGCAATGGGTTGAAGTTTAATTCACTTGATATTGTTTTACTTGAAACGCGCGTCCTGGATTCCACTGCTAGCCATTATTCATCTTTGCTTATAATGCTTGTAAATTAAGGCAATATCGGGGCATACGCACAGTATGCACATATGCCAATAAGAGACTGATCAATTTCAGTCCTAAAACATCAATGGGAAGATTCAAGTAAAACAATATCAAATGAATATTAAGAACCTCTATTTTTGGCTTCCATTGCATTTTCATCAAATCTTCAAACTGTTATCATTGTCTTGAACGCGTTTTAAAAAAATAATAATACTTTCACAAATAAACAATTCAACTCATAGAGAATGCAACTTCACCTGAATCAATTACATAATAGTAGTATATTTTTAAAACCAGCTTGTTAAGTCATTTCTTAGAAACCTTCAAATGATTTGATTAAGAATTTTCCATATATATATATATATTTAATTAATTATTTATTATTCTGTTTAATTCACTGAAAACAAACAAGGTGAAAGTAATATGTTCTTCAAATCTAAAATCATTAAATTATATTAACATTGATAGGAAGGTAAAGTAAAGGAAAGGAGACCCTTTTTTAAAATGATTAATAATTAAAAATAATAATCAATAAAATGATGAAAATAAAAGAAAGAAATCAATTAATTAATTAATTAATTAAGCAGAACAAAATGAGAATCTTGCTTAGTTAAATTTTTACAGTATAATGAGAAGAAGCATTAAAACATCAATTCAATGATGAATAAACTGTGTATAGTAGTAATTTGATAGTTTAAAGGAACAGAAAACAATAATTTGATATAATGGTTCTCTTTATTTTTTTTTTGGTAAATATTCTGTGGAAATAATCAAGCAATGTATAGTATAGTCTCATATGATTGTGAATATCGACTAGAATACTATTGGATAGATTGAAATATTCCTGATTCTTTTGTAAATGAAAGAGAGAGAGAAAAAATTTTTTCTTCCTCTGTATATGGTTGTAAATAAAATGACTAAATGAGTAAATTGCATGTGTATTCAATGGATCTGGCTACATTGGATTGTTTGGTTGTTCGTTTTTTTTTTTTTTTAAACTCGAAATGAACATCTTACTAAACGTGAACCGATTGGACAAATTGGACGAAAATTATCGGTTTGACCACAGGTTACACAATTAGCATGCATTTGTCGTAATGTTTCAAGCTGATTTTAGAATAACAAAGAAACAGAATATTATATATGTATGTTTGATTAAGGCTAACAACATAAATGCGATAAATGATTTGAATTATTTAAAGCAATTAGCCCCTTTGATAAATTTCGATAGTGTAATCAGAAGACGAAGATTATCAGAACTATGTGATGATATATTAGCGCAATATATTTCGAACAATCTTATCACACATTACATACTTGTTATGAACATTTATATATAAAAATAAATGGTCAACTAGATTGGAAATGAGGCAAGAGGAGACAAGGATAGTAAAGAGTAAATGTGAAAACAATTTGTAAGCACATCACTGTAATATTACCAGGGTAGGTTTAAGGTGAGCAAAAACTGTTTTTTTTATTATACAAAGGGGGTTTGAATTTTTGTATGGTTAAAGCTTATTATACACCCTTTTCGCAATTTTGATGAACACTACAAAAGCTTAGTTAAGATCAATCTTATGACCTGTTTCAACTATCTGTGTGATCAGAATATTCGAAATACATTGCGCAAATATATCATCGCATAGTTCTGATAATCTTCGTCTTCTGATTAAACTATCGAAATTTCAATTATCCCATTGTTGATAATCTTGACTGAAATTTAAATAAATACCCTATATAAAATAGCCATTCTATTTTACACAGTTTTATAGAACACAAGTATTCCTGTGTCAGTAGTTTCATCCGAATTCAAACTCTTCATCTAGATGTTTCTATATCTCAGTGGCTATTTAGATTTAGTTTTCCTGACCAACAAATTCACTCACTCTCTCTGTGTGTGTCTCTTTCTCTTACAGTAAATCATTTATTATCGAATAAAATTGAATATATATCACATCAAAAATTCAATCTTTCATTTATAATAGAAATGGATTAAAACAAAACAATCCGACTGATTCAGATATTTCGATTCTATCAGAACTATGTCAGTAAACAATGAAACAAAAGAAACTGAATAAAATAGAGAACAAACAAAATTGCGATGATTTTTTCTCTCTCTCTCTCTCTCGTTTTTTTCGCTTTTTGCATTTATTCCGTTTGTTTTTTTTTTTTTGAAAAAAAACAAAAAAATAAAGAAAATGGTTTTTAAAAACAGAATTTCAGATATTCATGTATAGAAAATAATAAATAAACTAGTTAAAAGAAAATATTCCCTAATTAATTTTACGGGATTGTACATAACTTAATGCGATCTAATCAAATGAGAATAAATACAGATTTGGAAAAAGTAGGTTTATTAGTCTCCAGAGGATTATCATTTTCTTCTTCTTTTACGTGCTCATATTTCACTCTCTTTTTTATCTGCAGTTTAGAGAAATGGATCAAAAATTATTTAAAAGAGAAAAAAGAAAAAAAACATCCAAAATTATATTACCTCCAGTGATAATCTATATATTTGAAATTCAAGTAGTGAACTAAAGTTAGATTATGAAATTTAATTTGGTCATTTGAAATGATTTTACTTATTTTATAAAGTGGAGTTGGATTCTATTAAGAATTAATTGTTATATAATGTTTATTAGGGTTTGATGGGTTTGTTTTGTGAGGATGGATTTTTGAAATGAATTACTTTCAAGACAAATGTTGTCGTAGATTCACTGTCACGAAATCGATTTCATCTCCCTGTCTATTTTATTGCTTTCATAGATCTATTTACTTGATATTTCGATCTGTAATGGGTCATATTTTTTTGACAAATGTACATAGTGAAAAGAATGTCTCAATATTACCATTGAGCCACAAGTTTTTAGTGCAGATTTGAGATGTTTGGTAATGGAATGGGAAACTATAAAGCCTTACAAATCAAATTCATACTCGCTTTATAAGGTGGTTTTGAGGTACATCTAGTTGACAAGTCAAAAACAGGACTAAAAACTTTTCCCGTATTCCATCCATACGAAACAGGTGTTCAGTGCTTCCAGGTTTTCATTGATTGATTCAGTCTTAAAAAATTTAACATAAATGACGCAAGGTAGAACAATAGAAAATTTTATTTTTTCATTCAAGTGTATAAACTTACTTGATCAATAGTCATCACTACGGGCTCATCTAGAACGATCCATGTGACACATTCATTACATGGTGGGGTAGTTAATGATCCGGAATATGTGTAGTATCTGGATAAATCATCTGTACGATATAAAAATTTCACGGGTAAGGAAAAACGATCATTTAACATGCAACTGAAGAATTGATCATCTATAAAACAAATCACCTAAAGTTATGCACATTATTTTTAAAGTTCAGTTAGTGTGTTGAACCCGCTAATTTTGGCCGCATTCCTGTTCATTTAATAAGCGACAGCATCACATAGAGTACAATTTTCATCAAAGATTTCATTTCAAGCGTCCAGAGTATGTATGATTTAAGTCAGCCTCCAAATGCCCTGGTATTGTCGAGGGTGGGGATAGTCAGCCTCCCCTCTTGAAATGCTCTCACATGGCCCATTCCATTCCTTCTAGTTGAGTCACATTTTGACCTTGTTATTTATTCGCTTATCAACCTTGACTTTTTTATATGAGCGTGGAGGTGTGTGTACAATTCTTACCCCACTACTCATCACATGTCTGTAACTTACTTTTGTGTAACTATAAGTATTGATTAACGCTTGTTTAAATGGGAGTTGGCTTACCAGCCATCTCCACTCTGCGTCGTTTCTCTTCTCTCTATTCCATTCGCTTTATATACAAAGATATATGTATTCACAAGTCCATTCTCGTTATTTGACTTATTTAATTCCGTTATTGACTAACGCGATTTAAGTCGATGATTATATACGAGGATAGGCGATAACAAACATTCATACGATCTAATTGAAGTCAGATCCACGGGTCACTAAATATCCACTGCCAGGAAAGTCCTAATCACTGCCTTCTCGAGACGGGGAAGTTGTTTGCGAAATTGAGAGGACGAAAAGCGAATGTCCGGCACTTTAACCGAGTTAGTGGATATGGAGGATCCACCTGAGGGAGTTGGCAGACCTTTATTCCAAGACAAAGGTGCACATGGGCTCCAGGATCCTGAGGGAACGGCTGACGTATCAACTTATGGTTGGTCACCGGCTACCATGGGACTGCATCTTCTAACGTTGCTCTACTGCATTGTGGATTGGACCCCAAGGTCAAAGGCACGACCCGTAGTTTCCTAAGAAAATTACGTGTCAGTATTCTAACCCTTACACAAATCAAATGATTTGTGGGACGCAAATATATTTGGTGCCTTTATGTACCAATGTTTATGTGTTTAAATAAAATAAATAAACGAACCAAGAAACTTTGGGTCTCATGACAGACGCTTAACATTTAAACCACTAAGTCCTCATTCAATCACTTCTACGCTTAACTCCAATCAATTAACATTATTGTGCAATCAACTTTCATTGATATGAATGAGTAAATGCTTCACTCCCTAAATAGTTGAATTCCATGGTTATTAACTAGAACTCCCAGAACAAGTACGCCGAATAAGCTCCTAGTGTGCAAACGATTACGGTAAACATAAAGAAATGATGGAAATTGTAAAATTGTATAGTTGTCTATGTACTGAAATCTCGCTACGAAACCTGAAGTCCGTGGATCCTTACCTCAACGTTCGTGGATGGGTACTGTTCTGAAGTCCTGTACTAGAACAAAACAGCTTTTTCAGTACTCATTGATTCGCAGTTTATCTAGTTAAGATCGAATTTTAATCTGAACTATAAAAGACAAGATAGCAATGAGTATTTAGTTTACCATTCCTACTGATTTTATTACATTCAAGCTAAACATACCAAACCACTCATAATATATATTAGTACTCATACATTGGTTTTCATTGTATCACCATTTTGTACCTTAATTTTGCTTGATAAAATAACTTGATACTGTTTAATAAACTAATTATTATTGGTAATTCATTTTTGTATTGGTTATCTGAATATTCTCATTGATTTTTAGGACTGTAATTGATAAGTCTGTAATCTGCATCCTGCGGGATTGCCTCGATAATTCCATGAATTTCATTCATTATAAGCAACGATGGATGATGACTATCAGTGGAATTCAGGACACGTGTTCCTTTCATTGTTTTGAACAATAATTCTGGGATGTAGGTACATCCAACTAATGAGTTCCAAATAGGTCGAAACGGGCGTCCTACATTTCACTGCTAACCACCATCCACCTTGACTGATTATTATTATTGATGTTTTTCAAATGATTTAAAAGATGTATTCAAAAAAATATCATGTTGTTTATAAATAAATTAGAAACTAACATAAATTAAGGAAGCAAAATCTTTAATTAAATTTTATTTCAATATTAAAACAATCATTAAAAAAATAGTTGTAAGTCTTAAGAATAATTTAAACTCTGATAAATGTTTAGTTATCAGTATAGGGTTATGGATATTATTGAGTTTTGATTGAGAACATGAATGGATCAATGTTAGACTACCATTGAAAACATGGAAGCACTGGACGGTCGTTTCCTCCTAGTCTCAGATCATGGATGCATACTGCTGAGGAGTTTCATACTAGGACGAAACAAACATCCAGTGTTTCCAGGTTCTTAATGGCTGTCTAACATTGATCGGTTTATGTTATCAGTCAAAATGTCTAGTTATTATGTTCAAAATGTCATAAGTTGATTAGTCAGATAATGTATCCCTAATAAATGGATTGTTATATTACATTGACTGTGCCAGAGAACAAACCAGATTTCAGTGGAGGAAGAAATCAGGGAGAAGCGATGGAAGTGGACAGGGCACACATTGAGGAAAGCACACAACTGCGTCGCAAGGCAAGCCCTCACTTAGAATCCCCATGACCAAAGGAGAAGAGCAAGACCAAAGAACACATTACGCCGAGAAATGGAGACAGATATGAAAAAAATATATAACAATTGGATAGAACTAGAAGAGAAGACCTAGGACAGAGTGGACTGGAGAATGCTGGTCAGCGGCATATGCTCCATTAGGAGTAACAGGCGTAAGTAAGTAAGTAACTAAGTATATTACATTGAAGTGTTTTAATTTAACCTTAAAAACCATACTACAATTAATGTTGTGTTAATATTACACGATAAGATATTATTAATACTAGAATAATATCACCAAATATCTTCATAATAAGAGAAAGATATTAAAATAAAAATCCAAAACAAGAATAATAATAAGAGACTTATAACCAATGAAACTTATTGTTTTATTGAAAAAAGAGGAACTTTTCTTCATGATAATACGGTTTATTAAAGCTAAATAATTAATTGTATTTATAATGATTAATAAAACCATATTAGTCTCAGAAGGGGTTTTGCGGATATTAATTTTAATTGTTAAGGTCATGAGTCAATTAAAGCTAGACCACCATGGAAAACCTAGAAGCAGTGGACGGCCGTTTCGTCCCACTGTGGGACTTCTCAGCAGTGGGCATCCACGATACCGCCTCCCCAGAGCGAGCGCTTAAACTCTAGACCACTGAGCCGGCATCCAGCGGTGTTAATGTCTAACTTCAACTAATCAACAATGGTGGATGTGTCGCTCAATATTGTGGAATAATATATTAGTCTGTTAAAAATTAAAAGCGAGTGTATCACCAACTGTTTCAAGTTTTTTTAACTTTTACAAGAATCCTCATGAAGATATTACGTTGAACTGATTTTTAAAAGGTTAATTTAGCACAGTCAACGAATTCATAGAGGAATATTTCATTTCACTTGAATTAGTTTTTAAAATAATCTACGCAGATAACCTAATTGTTGTGTATTGTAGGAGTTTGAACAAATAAGGTGTTCGTGCCTAAAATCTCTATGCGTGTGTGTGTGTGTGTGTAGATGTATCACATATAGACACTCATTCTTTCATAATCTTAACATTTATTCTAGTTTGTTTTTTTCTATTTTTCCCATCAACAATGCCCTCAAGCAATTTTTCATGGATGTTAATTAATTGTGATTTATCATTATTTCTATTTTTCATTTCTTTCTCCAATCCGTTTTATGGACAATTAAGTTATTTTCATCTTAATATTCAAACATTATACAGTGTATAAAAACAATAACAATGAAATTAATAATAATCAAATGATAGTTTGTCAAGGATTATAAATTCATATGTGTTTTTAAGAGAAATAATGAATAATTACCAACATAATGTACATAAATTGTGTACTCCTTTCACTAATAATACAGAAGTACAGCTTTGGTAAATGATTTTGTAGAAGAGAAGTTTTTCCAGTGAATTGTCTTCAATTCTTTGTAATTAAGCGATCATATAAATTAAGTGGGGATAACCTCCAATGTCATTCGCAATTTTGACCCTTCACTTGACAACCACCCAAATAAAACGGGAATTATTGATTGCACTATAATAATCCATGATGGAGGGCGTATTTCCTTCTCTGTCGTTTTTACTCACCTACATGTAAAATGTGGAATTTTCTTCGACTAAATTACCGCTCCATGATGCTATGGATGCATTAAGTGTAGCAGAGTCAGCCATGATAGAAGAAAAATTACAACATAGCAAAAATCATACCTCAAATTAATTCTATAATAAAAATCATCTTAAAATATCCACAATTTAGTGACTAAATAAACGAAAACATACCCATTATTACTGATATTATTAACTTAGATAACTTGACAACGTGGAGTTTATCCCCAGCCTATAATTTTTTTTGTTTCAAATTAAGGTTTTATTGACTAAATCTTTATTTCATTACTTAATTGAGAAGAGAACAAAACTGATTTACACTTAAAATAAATTGATAGCTTAGAATCGAGGAAATAAAATTTAAAAGTAATTATTTTCAATAACAGGGATGACACAGGTGTCGTTTGAGGATACGGGACAACATCTTTTGTAGTACATGTAGAACTTTGAAAAAAAGCAATGAAGATTAGTAATACAAGTAACTGGAACTTTTAATTCACCATTGTTTCCAAGGTTGTTGAAATGTTTAGTTCTAACGTTGAGAAATGTATTAACATTTGTTACATACAAAAAATGATAAAGATAGCTAAAATGCACACGAATTCAACAAAGTTTGTATTTCTATCGTATTTACAACTGCTTTTTGTCAAAAAGGATTGAACTTTAAGATTGGAAGCTTGGAAAGCATTACATCGGCAATCTGTTAAAGTTAGATATGTAGTTTGTTGGATTTCGGCTAAATGACCTAGAAGTTAAATATTTGCGCACGAAATAGAAGGTTCTGAGTTTGGTCTCAATAGTGGAGTTCCATACTAGAAAAAAAACAAATGTCTAGTGCTTCTGTATATTCAGTGACGGTCTAGCTACGATCACTTTCGAGTTTAAACCATGAAACGTCCACGACATAATGAATATTATTTCATGTTTACAAGTAGTAGTAACCTAACTTTAATCCAGGATGTCAAAGGTAAAATATTCATTCTAAAAACAATTGATAGAATCTTCAATCTTTGATTTTAATCCGAGTATATTGTACTCATGAACGACGAAGTAGATAATCAACACTTACGCACGTGCTAATTTTTCAAGTGATTTTGGGAAAAATTATAATGTACGAAAATGAAATGATAGTCTGTTTCATTCGTATTGATTGTTTGAATATTCTCATTGATGATTACGGCTGCTATTGATCAGTCTCTTTTGGAATATGTGAAGCCTATGCAGTTTGCCTAGATTTTAAAATTAAACAACAATATCGCAGTATCGAGGTAATCCACACAACATGCATATATATCGGACTAGAGTGATCAATTGCAGTGGCAAAACGATAATGGAATGATTCAAACAACCAAAACAAATGGATTAAATTTCGCTCAATTATACAAGCCAGTGTCTAGTTGAAATCTGAAGCGAACAGTATTCACATCGAGTTGCCGGGTAAACGGTAATTCTAAGATGCAGGTACATCTAGCTGAAGAGTCCTCAAGAGGCTGAAGTGGGAGTCCTGGATTCGATTGCTAGCCGCCAACCGACGGCCGATTCCGTTTACAAACCTAGACATAAATGACACTTCGACAACACTATTTGGTAGAATGTTAGATAATATCTTTTACTTACATCATCAAGTTTGCTTCTTAATTCACGGATACATTTCTTTCACATCACATTATGTATATATATACGTGAACAATGCATCTAGATTACATTCAGTAGAAACTGACATAATTTGGAGGACTTTCGAAAATCAGGGATTGCCGGATAGGTGTGAACTTCAACTGACGTTCGTTTATAATAAAATTCACCATCTGATTATAAAATACTTTCCAGAGTCACTTCAGTATAACATAAACATGCACTTGACAACTAGATTTGAGAAGGATATCTGAACGTTCTAGAGGAAAGTCTATATATATACGATTATCATTGAGGACCGTACTAAAACACAATTTTACTGAAATTGAAAGTGCTGATTTTTGGTTTTCAGCTTAATAATCTAATCATACAGTAGAAGTTGAATGACCTTAATTATACTTCATATAAAGTATTACATGAATGTGTATGACTGAAAAGTTTCAAACAATGAGTGAAAAACTATGCAGCGCTTCTTCGGTTTTCGGCAATATCAACTAGTCATATAAAGTGACCAACAAATTACTTGAAGCATAATGAAAAAGGACCAAGGTACTATACATATATATATCAAAATCTCTCGAACTACCATTTGTTGGAAACCTTTGTAAAACTCAACCTAATCTCTTAAGTCTATTATTCTAAATCTAGTATCAATCATTATTCATTGGCAAGAGTATTATATAAAGATGATTTTTATGTGGGAGTTACCAATTAGATTTATCAGAACGAGATCATTCACATACTTTACTTAATATGAAGCATTAAAGAAGGATCTATCAACATGTATTTCTTTTTTTAAACATACCAACAGTAATACACACATAATGAATGATAACGATGTATAATCATTACAATTAACTAAAAGTAAATACAAAATACCATAATACGTGTATAATTTACACAAATTATCTCAACAATAAGATTATTGGTTACTATGTCGTTCAATAAAATAAAACACATCAAATTTATAGGCTACAAAATTTATTCCCTCTTACAACCAATTGGTTGATTGATTTTCACCTTTGGTATGTATACTTGAAAGCAGAATATACAACAACAACAACAACAACAAAATGTGAACAAGTAATTTTGTTTAACAGTCATCAAAAAAAGATGTATAAAATTAGTTAAATCATTAGTGAACATTTACAGTAAGTAAGTGGTAAAAACCGATTACCAAATAGTTCATAATCAATATTAAAATCAAATGTAGAAAAGTATAGAATTTTAACAAACTAATAAAATAACAACATTATTGTGTAAATTTCATTTAGGTAAAATGATTGTATTTGACTTTGTTAATAAAAAAGAAGCTCAACATTTAGACAGTTTAGTAAACTTCCTCTAGTCTCCAAGGGAACACCGTGATATTATTTAATTCTAGGCGGCCTGTATGTATATCTGGGCTACCTGTTCCTGCTATCTGGATATTTCAACAAGTTATCTGTTTTCTTGTTTGTTTTAACACATCATTTTATGCCCAATAGTCATATCACCTATTCAAGAGCGTTTATGACAAGTTTACAATATTTCGTTGTACAAGTTTTAAAAAAGCTCAATCAGAGACATTGTGGTAGCTGGCAATATGTATCGAAATGAATGTATGTTATTCAATTATCCGATTCCAGAACTGCTAACATCTAATTAGTGATTACTCAATATTTATCGTCAGGATCGATCAAGAAAGAAGAAAAGGAAAATTTTCGAAATACTTTGCGCTAAGAATTCTATATTGTACCAGAAATATAATATTGAATAAAGCCAATAATGATAATTAAATGCATAAGGTAATTACATAAATAAGTTATTTGGATTTTTTTCTTGAACAAACCATAATATACCAGTGAAACTCAATCAATTTACTAGAAAGTGTCATTTACTGATAAGGAACATAAAATGTAGTCTATACGTTAGAGAGAGTATATATGGCAACTATTTGCATGATTTCCATAAATTGTAAAATTGGTTAAATGATGTTACACACCAATTTGATTATAAACCACTGATATATTTGTACTATTTTTTTTAAAACAAGCAAAAGATTACTTATTACAATATGAAAAACATTTTTTTTAAATTTTGGTCTGAAAACGGAAATCTCATCAATAATATTGACTTTTTAATCATTGGAGTAACCGGATTGCACAGCTTGGTAACAATCTAAATACCCCCCTTAAAACAATCATGATCTCAATAGTTTAGTAATCCGATGTGTTTTTTTTAAAAAAAAAGAATATTTAATAATTTTATTCGTAGTTAAATAACGTTCATGTATTCTAATAAAATTACTGGGCATAACATGAATTAGAAATTAAAAAAACTATGTTTATAACATTTGACATTAGTCAAATGTTATTTAATCAGACCGTGTTTAAATTAATGAACATACATTTCTGTTTCTATCGTACATAATAATAACAGTCATAAGTATTGTGGTAATAGTAGTACTATACGTTTTGAGATTTTTATATTTTTCGTATTAAATAAATAGAGTTATGTTTAGAAAATTCAGTTTACCCTTTTTTTAAAATTTAATATTCAATCATTATCATCGGCCTACGTGAATACTCTTGTTTACGTAAATTTGTAATAACATTAACATAGTAAAATGTAGATCAGTCAATTATCGTCAGTGTTTGCTTATAATAATGTAAATAATAAAATGTGTAACTATGATAAAGTGTAAAAATACTTTAATACACAGATATGATTTTATGTTTTTGTAAATAAGCTAATTATTAAATTCAACTGATTCATGCATAAATACATGCTAATTTTAAAGGGTGGATCAATTCACTTATCGTTTGTTACAAGTGATTGTGTTTCATCATTTTTCTATATTTGAATTCATGAGTGAATTGAACCTAGACCACCATGGAAAACCTGGAGGCACTGGATGGTCGTTTCATCCCAGTATAGGACTCTTCAGAAGTGCTCATTCATAACCACTCCTCATGAGATTCGAACCCAGGATCTATCCGTCTCGTGTGCGAGCGCTTAACTATTAGACCACTGAGCCGGCCGGCACGGAAAGGTGTTAATGTTTAACTTTCACCAATCCACAAAGTCGCGCCACTGGCCATTCAATGCTTCCACTTTTTCTATGGTGGTCTAGTTTTAATTGACTCATGAATTGAACTAATAAATTACTATAATATCCACAAAATGCCTCTCTGATTTTTTCTATATATATATATATATATATATATATATATATATATATATATATATATATATAGTTAAAATGATTATAGATTGATGAGGACGAAAATACAAATTCACTCTTTTCACAAACTTATTTTAATAGCTACAAATGAAGAAGTACTATCAATTTCGAAATATGCTAGTTAAAGACTAGATCTTATCAAAGAACATTGTCAACATTTATGATATAGCATTAAACAATACAAACTAGACATGTAAATGTTCAACACTAAGAGAAATTACCGATGACTTGAGTTGAAGGAAAATAAAAATCTCGTAACATAAGACTTTTCTCATAATTTCAACTTATGCAATAGATGTACTTTTTGACTTGACAACCAGAAATATATATTCATAATGGGAGAATTCAAACCCCTACTAAATATTGTATATATATTTAGCTGTATATAGTTAAAAGTTATTTACTTACTTGGCAAAAGTGTGTTCAAATCAAGCATAGGTTGAATATCTTTGCTTTCGCCTTTCTTTGTTGATTTCAACAATGAGCATAAACGTTTTAAGGCGTTATTATTATTCGATGATTTGCCCAACTACAAAATAAACATTAATAGGGTCTGTTAATGATATTATCAATAGTGGTAGGAATAATATTGTTAATGTAATTTTGGAGCTTATTCAGTGAATTCATTCGATAAATGTTACCTGCAAACTGACATTATCCCCACAAACCCCTTGAAGTAAACAACAATAATCCGCTCACTAGTGGTTTACCTTAAAATATTTAAGAAGTTGTAGCAAGAATACGTAACAGGCTATGTTCACATACGTCGGGATTTAAATTAAATGTCATTATTAATATCAAATGATCACCACATTATATCACAAACTGATTTGAATTGGAAGTATTCTATTGAGCGCCTTGTACTAGGCTTCAACGATTTGAGTTTGATCCCTGGTGAGGTCTTGGGTATGCACTACTGATGAGTTTCATGCCAAGAAGATGCACTTATCCAGTGATCTTTGGTTTTTAATGGTACACCAACGGAGATAAATCTGTGATGAATACTGCTTTTAAATTTTAAAAAAATCTCAAAACCCCATAAAATATTTATGGTTTATATTCAATGAATAAAAGGTAACCATTTAGTTGTTTAGTGAAAATAACAATAGTGTTGATCAGGTGGTTAATTACTTAACAAACAATAAAAATTATAACTGGAATATTTCATTTACTTTATTGTATACTGTCTTACATTTTTGATCGAAACAAAAAACCTATTATTCATAACGTTAAGTTATTCGTGTAACTGACCAAAAAAATGTATTTACGAGAACATGGAATATATCGTCAATGTGAGAATGTAAAACGTATGCAAATTTCTTCCGTATTGGTTACATCTATAGTACAAAATAGGAACAGATCAATTCAACTTTACGTAATCAAGCTTCTGTTATAAAGTAGGATTCGGTAGGGAAATAAAATTTGTAGTTATTAAAATAAAATTCATGTTTCGTTCTTCCTCTCAATGTTTTATTTAATCTAATTTAACCCACCCTAGTATTACAGACAACATTAAGTGTCACCCCAACACCATTAATGTATTTCAGTCTGTTTAAGCAATACAGACCAACATTTTTATCTCACATTTCATTTCTGAACTTTTAATTGAATACCGCCCTTGTTTGTACAACAAAGGTAACGTTTCTAAAAGGGTTGAAATTTTAAAAACTGATGTTAGTTAACAAATGGACGGTTTATTCATCCATTTATAATTTAAAATAAACAAGCCTACTAATAGTTTTCGTATGATGATCCTTTGAAAAAGTCTTTTCGTTTCCAACCTAGATAAACCGTACATAAAAACTTCTAAATAACATGGGGCAACTAAGAAAACAATTCAATAATTAATTTATATAGTTTGATATCTCAATTTATTTTCAAATTACAGCTCAGTTAGTGATTTCAGCAAGTATTCATCTATAATGCAACTAATTACATCACCAAATCATCGCTTCATTTTTTAAATGATAACTTTGACACACATTTCTTCTTTTACTTCAAAAAGTTCTTACGAAATCAAAAGAAATATGCTATAGATAAGAATACATCATTACTTAGAGATTAATAAATGTTAATAAATTAAACCTAAAGGAATTCAGCTGAGGTCCAGTTATCTCGGTGTTAATCTATTAGGATGTGAAACTAGATTATCCTGATTCGAATGCTATAACGAGCTTCTGTTCTTTGAAGATTACAATTACTCCCATACTGATGTATACCATTGTTTCCTACTGACTACGTCTAACCACGTAACATTAAATTTATTATTCAAGTGTATACTAGTTATTTTATTTGATTATAAATCACTCCATCATCTAACTTTATGCAGTTTATTTAGGTTTACGGTATGATCATCACTGGCAAATAATAGATTAATAACGTTTGTTTATCATTTATTTTCAGAAGAGGTTTGTGGAGATTTTAGAAATTTCATAGATTGAAATCATAAGTGAATTGAAGCAAGCCCACCATGGAAAACCCGTAAGCACTAGACGGCCGTTTCGTCCTGGTATGGGACTCAGCAGTTCGCATCCACGATCCCGCGCCCCGTGACATTCGAACCAGGACCTATGGGTCTCGCGCCAGGCGCCTAATCGACTAGACCACTGAGCTGGCATCCAATAGTGTTAATGTCTAACTTCAACCATTTATTTATTAACTTAACCGACATGAATAATCTGTTATGATTAAAATGTTATTAGAACCTCATTATGAATTTAGTTGCTTTTTATTAGACATGAAAACCTTTTCACACAGTATTGAATTGACAAAGGAAACTATCTGGCATCTTAAACTATTTTCAAATAATGAATTAGGAATTATGGTATTATGATTATAATGCTTAGAAATAAAAAAAACTCAATCAAAATATTGATCATACTAAATATTCAGCCTTGTTTCTCTTTACTATTTAAACTAATGGTAAAGCAACTGAATTATTTATTTATTTATTCTGTAACGATGTGACTTATATAAAGCTGTGAAATTAACAGAATTCAATTTTCTACTCATTAAGATCATTGAGACATAGATGGACAGCTTTTTCTTTCTATTCTTATAAATAATCATGAACAACCACAGAAGATGAAGAGAATTTGGCGAAGAAAATTTTGTTTTCAATGAAATCCAGATTTGTTGTTATTATTATCATGGAATTTAGAATAATTTAATAAACAATGTCGAATGTAGTATACACACTATTTAATCTTAATAGTTGAGATCATGCGTCAGTTGAAGCTAGACCAGTACGGAAGATCTGGAAGCACTTAACGGCCGTTTCGTCGTATTTCGGGACTCCTCAGAAGCGCGCGTCTACGATCCCGTCCCACAAGATTCCAACCCTAGACCTATCAGTCTCGCGCGCGGACGCTTAACATCTACTAAAATCTCCACATAACCCTTTACAATATTTAATTGGTTGAAATTATTACCGTAGTCAAATCACAACAAACATAACAAATCGTTAAAGACAAACAAATAAACAAAGGAACTGATTTGTTTCACTTTTATTAAATAAATTTAAAAGAAAAAGAGAGATTTCATTGGAATGGTGCAGAACATAAACGACCGGTAATGGGTTTATAGCTAATTATATAAAGAATACTAAGAAGAAGAAAGAAAGAAGGAAAAAAGAGGAAACAACTATATTAAATTATTCATAAGGAAAAAATAGCGAAATTAAGAAGAGAAAAAAAGTAATCGAAATCTAAGTATTTTTTCAAGTAAAAAGAAAGATTTCCTAATAAAAAAAATGAAAGTAGGTTGAGTTTCTGGAGTTCACTGAATTCAGTAAAAATATTTAATTTGGTGGCTCCTGAGACATGTACTCTTTAATAGTTTTTTGTTGTTGTGAAATATATGCGGAGCTTACGGATCTTCAAGCTTAAGTGTCCTTGAAATATTGATTAGGTATTTGGGAACAAACACGTAAATAGTATTAAGATGATATATGTGGAATATTAGTCAATGATGAGTACTTTTACTATACGTTTTTCGTATTATTTTTTATTCATTTTCCGAACAAAGTAGAACACTTAATATATAATGATAATATGTATTCAAGACACAATTAATTGATAAAATGCATATGAGTTCCTTATTCCATTCAAACAAATATGGGCATTCCTACCTTTATATTTTCAACACTATCTTGGAAATCCAACATTATAACAATTAAGATAACTGATTAAGCAAAGGAATTATAATGTTATGATGGCTTTCTGATCACATTAGCTGACCTTTTATAGTAGTTCTTCATATGTAGAGAAGATAGTTCCAGGGCATAAAATTAGGAAATTTGTTCAATTTCTAATTAACCCATTTTAATAGGTTTTATGGTAGTTGGCCTATACACATTTCGAATAGTAAACGTAATTTCATCACCTGATGGGGTAATTTACAATAAATTTAGTAACAGTCAATTAAATCAATTGTAATCATTTCGCATTAAAAGTAGGGTAAAATGAGTAACACGTTTTAACGCCTTAGTTAGCGTTGAAGTGTAGTAAAGTCTACGTAACAGCATGTGTTATAGATCACTATTAAAACATATTAAAAATCGTTTACACTCTTTATTTAATAAAGAATCTATAAACCTAAGAATTAAAAACTACACTTGTAACTGCTTCTCACTAGAACTCCAGGATATACCTCTTGAAGCCAGTCACTAGTGAGCATATGTTGATTCATATCAGAAGGGTTTTGTGGATATTATAGTAATTTCAGTAGTTGAGATCATGAGTCAATTGAAGCTATACCACTATGGAAAACGTGGAAGCATGGGACGGCACTGGATATGTCGCTCGATTTCGTGGACCGGTTGAAGTTAGACATTAATACCGTTCAATGCTGGCCGGCTCAGAGATATAATGGTTAATCGCTCACGCGCGCGAGACTGGTAGGTCCTGGGTTTGAATCTCTCGAGGAAGGATTGTGGATGCGCATTGCTGAGGAATCCCGAAATAAGACGAAACGGCCGTCCACTGCTTCCGGGTTTTCCATGGTGGTCTAGCTTCAATTGACTCATGATCTCAACCTTTGAAATTACTATAATATCCACAAAACCCTTCTGATATGAATTGAAAAATACTGAAAGACTGAACTTATAGCTAATGTTTGTGATCATCTTTACCATAAATGGTTGATTTCTATCAAGTGGCTCAGAGAGATTTTTTCCTACCCATATTCTGAAACCCTTAGATTCTATTTGATATGATTTAGTGGACGTATTGCAGAGCAATATTTTTTCAGTACTCCACGGGTTTAAGACGTTTGACAGTTAATATCATTCATTGGCAGGAAGTTGTTTTCAAAGTACCCTACAATCGGTACATGGTCATCTCGTTTCATAAAGAACAGATGAAATCTGGATTGAAGTTGTATCTAGGACATGAGCGTCATCCGATTTCGGACTCATCGCCTTGATGTACCAGCGTTTACAACTTGATGTCCACTCCAGGATTCGAACGTGGTTTTAATTTATAAGTTTCACAAAGCAATCTCAATATATTTCCCGTGAATTGAGATTAGAATAATCATCAAATATTTATTCTTCAGACAAATATCAGAGAGAAAGTTTGTGGGATCATTACGTTAGTGTAAATCAGAACAAAAGTGGAACAGAGAGCTTATGGCTTGAGATTTAAATTGAAGATGACTAAAGTTACTTCAAATGTGATGTGGATTTAAGTGTTACCCACAACCGCTCTTAAGTTTGCTAGTTCTAGTTTTAAAAAATTACAAAAATAATTTCGAGGACGATGAAGTTTTACATGATAGGCTCCAAATTTAGTCTATTGAAGGTAGATATCTACCCATAGTAAACGTTACTATTTGTTTTATTCAGTGTTGTCCTTTTCTAAAAAGGAATCCAATCTAATCTCGAATGACTTCATTTATTCATTTTATGTATCGACAGACTCATGTTTAAGTGTTTTTCAGTAACATGAATCAAGAATAAGGTGTTGTCTGAGACAGTTTAGCCGAAAATTTATTTTATCAAATAAATAATACTAAATATAGCAATCATTATGAATAGTGGATGCGAGAAAATACTAAAATAAAACAGATGTATCAAACATTTGTAAAGATTGGGTTTAATTTACGAGTTGTCTTTCTCATCTCAATTAGGTAAACACTACACGGCTGTTTTCCCTCAGTCGTGAACTTCTCAGCAGTAGTACTGTTCCATCTTCAATCAATTTACAACAGAACAGATGTAAGACAGTTACGCAACATCGTTATTTCATTTAAGTTAGACTTTAATGCTGCTTGATGCCAGTTCAGTAGTCTGGAGATTAAAAGTTTGTTCGCGAAATTCAGGATCCTAGGTTCGGACCCTGGCGGAAGGGTTGTAGAAGTGCACTGATGATGGGTCTTATAGTAGAACGAAACGGCTATCCAGTGCCTCTACTTTTACAAAAGTAATTTAACTAAGGTCAGCTAATGATTTAAAATCTATTAAATATTACGCTATGGTGCGATTATCATCCAGTTTTATGGATGTCAATAGTTTCAATCCAGCGATGTTTAAACCCTAAAAGTTACTAAATATTCTGTCCAATTAAACCAGATTTTAATTAACAGTCAAAAAGGTGAACACCATACAGTCTTGATTATAATTAAATAGATGAAATTTGGCATTCATTACAATATAACTATAATTAGCGTATATTAACAATTACAGGTTTGACTGATAATTCCCATTTAAAAATTGAAAATTAAAAATACGAAGTTCAGCGAAGGGATCTCTTTTCAACGAATTTATTATCAAACTGTACAATCGTATATATATGAAAATTTTGTTTTTGTAAAAGTACTAATTCCGTGAGGAAATGTGAACACGAATAACCAAGATGACATAATAGAGAGATTATAATACTAGTTCCGTAATACGAATCATAACAATAGATTTAGATTTAGTAAGCTTGTAACGAACTATAACGTGAATGTGGTGAGATGAATAACTTTCACTAGTAGGAACTTATCTTCTGTATCCATAGAAGATAAGCTTCCGCGTCTGGTCGTCTCCATGTGCATCTACCAGTTCACCTGCTCTTGTGGAGCAAGGTACATTGGCCGTACCAAGCGCTCGCTTTCAGCTCGGATACGGGAACATGTCCCAGTTTGGTTCTACAAGAGTGAGAGGGAAGCAGCTAGGAGTTCTATACCTGAACACCTAGTCGACTGTAATCATTCTACTGATGCACAGTTTGATTTTAAGGTTGTTTATATGATTCGTTCAAATCTACCTAGATTTCTTCGTATCCAACTTCTAAAAATACCCGAAGCTCTTACTATCCATGAGCTCAAGCCAGAAGTATGCGTATAAGAGAAGTATGTCCTATCGTTATCGTTACCTTGGCCTTAATTATTATTATTATTATTATTATTATTAATATTACTGCATTCCCCCTTTACAAAATTTTCATATATATACGATTGTACAGTTTGATAATAAATTCGTTGAAAAGAGATCCCTTCGCTGAACTTCGTATTTTTAATTTTTAGATACAGGTTTATAGATAATCTGCTTAGAGTTGGACTTTAATTGTGTAAAAACCAACGTTTCTACCCAGTTAATCAAACTGAAATAGAGTGACGTTTCTAAATATAATCCTATTTTCTGTAGCTCACGAACCACTAATTATTTACTGAGATTGAATTGGATGAAACAAACACAGAGATGGTCAATTTATGACTTCTGACTCTGAAAAATAGCTAAATAGTGATCATGTATGTTGGTCTATCATGATTGCATCATTTGGTTCTAATAGATCATTTATCTCCATGGATTGAGACGATATCAGACATAACTCAGAATGGAGATCGATGAAAACGTTACTGTAGAGTTTTGTTACATGGCAAATAAAACTTTTAATTGAATGGGATTTGTCTTTGTAAATTTTTTATGAAAGCATATTCTTGTTGTCTCCTTAGTTAATGATTTTACTATTTTTTCTTTTTGTTTCTCTCCATAATATTATCATTTTCCTTCTTAGTAGCCAGCTTTTTAAATGTCATGTTATACCAAAGTTTATGTCATAGATAAACAAATGGAAAACAATCAGTGTAGGGGGTTTGTGAAGATGTTTAAATTTTATAGTTTACATCACAAATTGACTATAATTTGAAAACCAGTTAGTAGCAGGTAACACTAAACAGATATGTCGTCCTTGTATGATACTCCAAAGGAAGACACATCCACTACCACACTGTGAATCAAACTCAAGATGTTCAAGCATCGTGATAAGCGCTCAACATTTAGACTACGTAGTCCATTTCCATTATCTTACATTTCTAACTCAATGTTCTAAACGTCGAGCCCTCACAATGAGACATTCAGATGCTGGGGTCGATTCTGAGTAAATATCTAGTTGGGTATTGCTGGTTGGTCACAAACATATGCTTATTACCTCCAAACAGAACCTAAATCTGCAATCTAATAAAGATTAATTTCTAGTGTTTCAATCATCGGATCGATAAACCATCCTTTCAAGATATTATATGAAGTAAAATACACTGTTTTTGTAATCATAATTTAACTAACTTGAAAAAATATACCGACAACTGATAATCCATCAGAATAAGTAATAGCGGTTTCCATTGTAGCATATTTAGTATTAATGAATACACAATGTAGTTCAGCTGGACAACTTATCCCATTGATCATATGCTCAGAGCCCCAATTATTACCAGATCCCCAATGTAAATGAAATTGTATCAGCTTATATTCTGATGCCAATGGACCACCGGATAATACTACAAAATAATAGAAAAGTAGTTTCATAGAAAAAAGTTATAAATTTTAATTTATATTATATTTTCTAAAATACGTTTTTAATGAAGTGCTCTAGAATTAGAAATTCCCGACAAAGATACGAACTTCATACTTTTAGAAAAGTTAGTATCTGTTTGGACTCAGTAGCTCAGTAGATAGCACGTCAGTACTTGAAGTGGAAGGTACTGGGTTCGAGTCCCAATGTGGACACCAAAACTGACATGTAATTGTTAAATAAAATCAAGCGCGGTTCTTGAATTCTATTGAAAGTCACAACTAATCTGTTATAAAAACTAAAAAACTTTATCCTAGACTATATGGTGATTTGTTTGAGCAGAGTAAAACCGATTAGTTAAATTTACCGGTCAGTTTTTCCTGAATTTTAAACAGTCTTCTCTGAGTATTTCATAAAACTGATCGTCTTACATGAATTGAATACTATAATAAAACGGACTGATGACATCAAAACTGTGGGAGGGAATATTTACTGGTTTTTGTTTTTCGAGTAAGGATAAAGTCAAGGAGGTGCTACTTATACTGGGGAAGACCTGGCTTGAATAGACAAATCAAACAACTGACAAACAATGACATCTCATCGTTGAAAACCACACACACGTGGCAAGAGGGATGAGTAAATTTAGATAGTATTTCTATGAATCGAGAAAAGCCAATGAATAAAATTGAACAACAGTGTTTGCACAACATTTTCATGACTCTAGAAACAATAGAAGCCAAAAAAGATGAGTGGTTAATTACATGTGAAATTTTACTGTTGGCATAAAAGTATGTATGAGTGTAACATTTTAAAGTTATTATCACAAACTTAGTAACTACTATATTTGCCTAAAATTCACACTGGCTAAATTAATTGCATTGCAGAATGATAATTTCAGTTACACTGTCGTACGTAAATAAAATGAGATATAAGTTACTATGACCACATTTAATGTAGTTTGTTATAAGAAAGCACTTATTTGGTTGGGTAAATATTTAAATGACAGAAAGAAACTATCCTATTTCTTGTGATCATAACGTTAGTGAGTTAATGAAACAATCTGATGATGAAATCTATCAGCGAAGCTTTTTGATTATACATATACAACAGAAGATAGTGAATTATTTTTAACTTCTGCTCACACTACGGTTAATGATTGTAGGTAAATTCATATATATAAATGTTAATTAATGCTGAACAATCAAGTTAGCAAGCTTTAAACCGAAGATAAGCCCATCTAAAAATCATTTTTTGATAGCAGACCAACTAACTAACATACAATAGAATATCTGAAATTGTCTAAAAAGTTGGATTGTGACCAGCTATAGAATTAAGAACGCGCATTTCATCCTGTCAGGAACTACATGAATTCAGTAGATTACGTTTTAACGTTTGAAACCGATAGTACTTAGTTCAAGTTACATAATGAGTATCGACGATGATATACAGGTATATGCAGCCAACTATTTCCAACTAGAACAGAACGCGCTTCCCAGTTTTCATTCCTAGCAACTAACTAGCTCAAAAAATACTTCGAACTAACTGAAAATACACTCAGGATACTTTTGTATTCATGTACACTGATCGATTGTAGTTTTCATAATAAAAACACAAAAATACAGAACCTTACAAAAAGAAACCACTTTTAGAAGGTTCATAATTCGTTCTTAATGGTATTTATAATTATTTTTGATATAATCTAAAAATATTGTTATGCTTAAACTAAATAACATTTCACTCAGGAGTGTCAAAACATTTCTAACAAATCAAATTAAATGAGTAGACATTTTTGTAACATAATCTGTCATATTCACATTCCCTTAAGGAAATTTCAAGTATAAGCATTAGATAACGGTTTTCTATAGGCTTTTTTTCAGTTATAACGATAAATAAAAAATATACAGATAAAATAAGCAGTGTACAATAGTCTACAGATTATTTTTCATATGTTATCTCATCAGTTAGAAGTAAAACAAAATTGCCAATTAAGCTCAGAGACTAATTTCTTCATACGCTAGTGATTATATATGTAAGTATATACTTTACAATTAACAATAAAATCAATACCAATTACAAAATGGTTATTTATTTAAACACATAAAAATTGGTACAAAGAGGCACCAAACAGATATGCGCCACATAAGTCATTCGATTTATGTGAGTACTGGGATACTGCCCAGGTGCCCAAACCGAAGCATGTCGTTTTCTTAGGGAACCGCACCCGGAGCCTTCGACCTAAAGGTCTAATCCACAAGACAGTGGAGCAACGTAAGGAGACGCGGCCCCATGGTAACCGGTGACCAATAAATGCTTCATGCGCCATTTGTTTCCTTAGGATTCTGGAGCCTATGTGCACCATTGATTTCAAAGTAGGGTTTTCCAACTCCCCTAGGTGGACACTTTGTGTCTACTAAACCGGTTAAAGCGCCGGATGTTCGCTTTTTGTCCTCTCAATTTCGTAAACAACAAACCTGCCACTAGAAGGCAGTGAGTAGGACTTCCCTGGCAGTGGTTGTATGCACGTGACCATGTGAGAGCATTTCGAGAGGATGAGCTGACTCTCCCCACTCTCGGCCGTACTTGTGCATTGAGGGGTTAGTCAGGATTTTTGACCAAGGGCACAATTCAAAGAGGAAAGAAAACAAGATTATCGCTGTATTTAAATGTACTATAATTATTACTTATTAATTAGATTTTAACATCGTTTTGAAAAATTACTATGCATTTCATAGTAATCATTCAAGCTTAAACTATATACCCCCATTTAACTGAATTCTAATTAATTTATTCTTTGATATTGTGCTTACCATTGAAAAGTTGAGGAGATCTAGACTTTATCGTGCATGTGGTCAAATTGCTTACTGTTGCAAAATCCTAAACTAGGACAAATTAACCACTCAGTGTCTTTTTATTTTTACGTACGTATATCCAATTGATTGTGATTACAAGTGATTGATTGCTGAGTAGTAGACTAGTGTTAAGGTTTGTCTAACCTTTTAGTGTAGGCGATATTCAGTCACAGGACTAGAAAAGATAGCGTTGGTTACCATGTAGTATCAATCAAATTTAAATATCTCAGCCAATCCCACGCCGAACAGCTCAGTTGAAACGTCCCGATATGTAATGCTATACGACACCTGTTTGGACCTATCAAGAAGCATCAGTTAACCCAGGATCCCAAGCACGTCTTAATGACAAATGTTAACTAGATTTTTCGACGACTAATTAAGACCTCCTGAAGTTCATATTTGTCCATATTAAATGCTATCTTTTTTAATTAGACTTTCTCAAACACTGTTGATTCAACAATGACTGGAAATAGTGTTATGAAAATTTGTGTTAATAAGTCAACTATTATATATACTTATTAGCATAAGCTGCTTTCAGATTAATATATTCTTTCTCAATTAAGAATAGAATTTATTATGATCTGTATCATAATGCGTGAATGGATAGATAAGAAAACTCTAGCGAAATGACGGGATAAAGACATTTTTCACCATAATGTGAAACCGATTTCGAAGATAAAACCTAAACAAACAAGAATACGATTATCATATGATGATGAAACAAAGATGAAATTGTATCTATCATATTTTTCCAAGACACCATATGTAGTTCATGGAACTATTTAGACATATTATGTCGTGCTCATCATATTTAAGAAATGTTGAATCACTTTATTTTTATGGTTGTCACATTCTCAGTTCGAGTGAAATGCTCTTCGTAAACTTTTACCTCTACAATTCATTGGTCACTAAGTAGTGGTAATTAAAGTGTTCATCTTGTTCTTTAGTATCGACCAAGTCCTAACGATTATGTAACAATTAGGTCACTAGTCGAAGTGAACCGACATCACATCCACTGTGTCAAGATCTCAGGTGACTGAAAGCAGTCAGTATGAAACCCTGCCTGAACCAGACTCCTTAATGTCAAGAACTTGTAATGTTGAGAGAAACGATGATTTTCGGATACACTTATCTTCACATCTTGATAAATCATTACCAACCAATTCAATCCTCGATGGATCTTCAGTAGGACTGAGTTATCTTCAATTGATTGATCATTGAGTAGTAACCAATTTCATGCCTACATTGTTTCGTTGTCAAAATATTTCCTACGCACAATCAATGTAGAATTATCAAAACGTTATTCTTAAACCATTTTTATTTCATAAAGATCTTATGTTACAATGGAGAGAATTTATATATAAGACGGATCTTGATCGGATTAAGTTGCCCAGTCTTAGAAGAAACAATATTAGCAAAAGATTTTATGGAATCCAATGATATTTAACTAAGTGTTTGACTAACTGATGTAAGGCCACTCACTATCGTTTGGTCTACCAAACCGGATCTAAATTGAGGACATGTTATTTTTTATAAGTTAGAATTTTCAATATTTTTTTATTTTGAGATATCCTCCTATATGATAATAATTTGGAATGGATCACATTTAGTTTAATGTACTTGTGCGATTTATTGATTTAATGATAATTATCACATAAACCAATATAATTTCCCTACGCTTCGTAAACTATTCTATTTCTCTTCAGTAAACCACAGTTGTGATAACTACAGGGGCATCACTCTTCTCTCAATACCGGGAAAAGTCTTCAACAGGGTATTGTTAAACAGGATGAAGGACTGCGTAGACGCCCAAATTCGAGACCAACAGGCAGGATTCCGTAAGGATAGATCGTGTACAGACCAAATCGCAACTCTGTGGATCATTGTGGAACAATCAATTGAATGGAATTCATCACTCTACATCAACTTCATTGACTACGAAAAAGCATTTGACAGCGTGGACAGAACAACACCATGGAAGCTTCTTCGACACTACGGCGTACCTCAGAAGATAGTCAATATCATACAGAATTCATATGATGGATTAAACTAAAAAATTGTGCATGGCGACAGTTGACAAAGTCGTTCGAAATAAAGACCGGTGTCAGGCAAGGTTGCTTACTCTCACCCTTTCTCT